CAGGTAATTGCAGATACATGTGTTGAGGACTTTTTTTTTTTAATTCATAAAATTGTTCCCATCTTTAAAAACACTTTTAAAAAAAGGTGAAATTACCAACACACAGAAACAGATGTTTCTGCTAGTTAAATGTCGGGAATTCAGACTCCTTGTCTGGCATCACCTGGTTTTGATTCAGTATTCATTGTTTCAGGTTCATTTTGCTCAAACTCTGTCCAGTGCTGGAGAGGTAAAACCACCTTTGGAAATGGATAGCTGTACTATTCCTGAACATCTTTTCTTTAAAAGAGCTCTTATCTCCACAATGAAAAATAACTATAAGTAATTTAGAACACTGTACGTGAACAAGTGCATGCACAGACACATTTACTCATAAACCAAGATGACCTGGCAAGTTTGTATTAGCATTTCAAAGAGATACATCATCTCATCCTACTGACCAGAAAGAGAACAAATTGTGATATACCTGGATTCTCCTTCTTTTGCTATACTAGTATTTCTTAACAGTCACATTTTACTTGTGAAAGTTTCATTTTGTCTTTATGATGCCTGCACTGTTATCGGTAAACATGGCGTGATTCTGTTTCAACTGTGCTTGCACAGAATTTCCACCTACTGCCATGCCTGCTGACCTCCTAGCTATTTGTTTGCAACTAAATTGCCAGCCACAGGTTTGGCCAGTATTTCCTTTTATTCCCTCATCTGAAAACAAACACACATGTACAAAACCTCCCCATGCAGACTTTTCTGAAAAGACGCTTTTCCCCACATGGAGTAACACTGATGTCAGCCAGCATCTGCCCAGGTGCAGGAATGCCTCCCTTGTGCAGATCCAATTGCAACACTGAAGTGTGTGCTTTAATTGTGCTGGAATTATGAAGAAGATGTCAAACTTTTTCTATTCAAATATCTGTTTAGTTAATATAGGACAGCTTCTGGGGAAATCTTAAATTTTGCTTCCCTTTTTGAGGAAGGCTTATCTGCACAGACAGAACTGTCTCCAGATGTGACCAGAGCCATAGTATGATATTTCAGTATGTTACCAAAAGATCTGTATTGATATCAAAAACCAGTTGTTTAATTCTAACAGTATTGGTTCAACCTTCTTATTAAGATAGACATCAATTAACTATCGGCCTGTACAGAACATGAAAAGTGATACATAAGTGCAAGATTTTAATGAAGTGACAAAGCTCTAAGCTGGCTCCTTACATGATTACTTAATGTGCCCTACATTGTCTGGTATGTGATTTTGTCCATTGGACACATTATTTCTAATTTAACAGGTCATTAGAGCTTTAGTGTAATTGTGGGAATAAATGCACATAAAATACAAGAATTTCAAAATAAATTTTACAGCTCACATTTATGCAACAACTTACTGCATTTTTTAAAAATCACTACAATGCAAATTAGCATAAACAAGCACACATGCCATGCAGAGCTCACACTGCAATAGTAGCTGAATTTGACATGAAGAACTCCCTGTCCAAAGCCCTCACCATTGTGGCCATTCATTTCTCCTTCCCATATGTGAGTAGTGAAAAACAGCAGTAAAGATCAGGCTCGGGCACCACAACCTTTGGCAACAGATGCTTTCTGTTCACATTGATGGCTGATAGCTCCAGAACCTAAATTCTAGTGAAGAAAAGCCAGGCTTAAGATGCCAACTAGTAGCCTGAGCTGTGCTTCATATGCCCCTGCTCACATATTTCCAGTTGATCCAGATATCATGGACAGAGCTTTAGCTCACTATGGGATTAAGTGTGCTGAAGATATTTTCCCTCTTGGAAAGCTCTAGCAGGTACCAGTAACATGGAGCACCCTGGCCGAACTGTGTAGACAGCATCTCAGATAACATGGGACCACAATGTCATGTTGATGACAAGGTGAAAATCATCATACAAGAGCATATGAGCAGGACTATGGACTGCTTTATGGTTGATTTAAGACTCACCATCTCCTAGCACTGGCAAGACCCAGTCTGGAGCACTTTCCAGGTTGGGACAATACACTTCAGATACAGTGAATCAAGTAAGACAAATAAGACTTGGAAAGAACCCAGAGAAAGGCAGACAGAATAATCAGAATTCAGACAAACACAAGCTATGAGAAGAGACTGAATGAACTCAGGCTGTTAAGCCTAAGGAGAGATGGTAGCCTGAGAGGGGATGGTAGCACCCAAAGAGCTTGGAGGCTACTGCAATGAAACAGGCAATGACCATGGCTACATGGATGAACAGGAGAAGTAATGGGATCAAACACCTGAAAGAAAAACTGGAAAGAGATGTTATGAGAAATCATTTTAATGACAGGCACAAATTGCCTAGAGGCACTTGAGAATCTCCATCAGTAAAGCATAGGAAAAGCAGGCATCTTACAGGAATGATACAGCGAGAGTTGGTGATGCATTAGGAAAGGGAGTAGCAGATCTCTCAAAGCCTCTCTTGGTTTATCTTCTCTGTCTTTAGGTAGTGACCTACTACACTGCACTTCCAGCTCATGCTTTATAGTTCCAGATGTAGCAAAAACTATGAGGACTGGATTACAGTTTAACTCTGCATTGATCTTCCTGTGAAACAGTGAGGTTATACAAAAGGCCAGATTCTCAGACTACATAATTCAATTTAACTTCACTCGCTTGAAAATGGATTAATTCAATGAAATTGGGCTAAATTACACCAGATGGGAATCTTGCTCCAAATTTATGCCACTGATCATATTTCATCCACCTCTTTCAACTGACAAGTAACATCAGTCTTAGGTCAGAGCCTTATCTTAGGTCAGACTCTTAATTCTCATGCACTTAAGCTTCCATCTTCAAACCAACAGAACTCAGAAACTTCTGTTTGCCATCATGAAAATTCTTAAAAACAAATGGTCTCCATTTCTGTGGTCTCCAGTACCAGGACACATACTTGTCAATAATTTTGCCCATCCCGTCGCTTTCATCTTTGAAATATTCAACCACAATTGAGTATTTGCTTTCCTCTGACACCTCCAGCTGAGACTCAGTGTAAAGCTTGCTTAAAGAAGAAAAAAAAAACAAATGGACTGTGACATGTCAAAGAGATGATGAATTCTGAAATGCCACAATACAGTGTCAAACATTGCTCTGTCATCTTTGACAAATTCTGGGTTTCCCCAGTTTACCAGGAAAGGAAGCATGGCTGGGTATGAAGAACCCAGATGTTTCCTGGTTCTACAATGCCCATGGCATTCAAAATTCTATCACTGCTAACCACAAGAAAAAGAACATGTAGAAATCACTGAAACCACAGTGGCATAAATGAGGACTGTATGAGCCACTGAACACCAGTGTAAAAAACCAGCAAAATTGTTTATGAAAATGCTATCCAAGACCCATTAAAAAGGAAAGCACATTGGTACTTTGGAAATTCCCATGTTATGTCAAAATGCAGTGCTCCACACAAAGATATTCAAACCTTTCGATGCTTCCAGTAAAGTTATACCTATCACTGAACACTCCAGGCTTCCCCAAGTCACTGTTTATTGTGTGAAGTACATCTGTGTTCATAGAAGTCAGCGTGAGAGAAGCTAAATCCTGAAAACAGAAGTGCGGAGAAGCATACAGAGGAGATGTGCAAGCTGGCTAGCCAACTTAGCTGACTAGTTTAGCAGTCTGGGGCAGTGCCAATGCCCACATCACATCTGGACCCGTCCTGCACAGAACACATGGCTCTGGTGCCTCTGTACCACCCACCACTGCATGGGATGATGTGCTGTTTTCTAAGAGATACCCAGCCAAAAAAATTAAACATTAGCTGACATAGGTATTAAATTTAATACCAGCCTGAAAAATATGCTGGCCTGAATCACAGCATCTGATGCTCAGAGTCAGGTTTGCTGGCACAGTTGTGGTCTCAGTGGATTGGACAGCAGAGATTGAACCCAGCTGTCTTCAAAATGTCAGGTAAGTGTGATATTCACATACAACATACACTGCTGCAATATAAACAAGCCCTAACATTACACATCTCTTAAAAGCGGTGTTGGACCAGTTACATACTTGTTTTATCTGAGCAGATGTCAGCATCTGCCTTAAGTAGAGAGAACTGAAACATTTGTGTTCCTTCCCCTGCCCCCAGCCCCCACCTTACTCAAAAGTGAGGAAGAGCACAGAGCATCAGATATTTCAGTGCCATTTTATACCAGAGCGGAAAAACAGATGTTTTGATGATTTCCCTCCCCACTACAATCTGGGCAGGCAGTCTCTTTGCTAAGCTGTTCGCCCTTACTATTAAAATTGATTTGCACAAAAGTACATTGCAGCCAAAGCAAGCATGGCAGTCATTAAAGAGTGGGCTGCTCACACATGTTTCTGTAATTAGCCAAGTCAACTACTAATGAATGGGTCATCTTTTGCAAGAAACTGTAAGGAACTGGTAAAGAAATAATTTGTGGTTCAGGAACAGCCATGCTGTCAGGTAGGCCTTCTCCTGTCCTTTTCTAACAGCAGCGTGCTCTGTTAGCTGGTCTTCAACCAATCCCTCATTAGAAAAACAGAAAATAATAAACATGTCCTGGTCAGTCACAAGGGCTTATGCCAGGAAACTATAGAAATCTTTAGAAAATAAATGTACAGACACTGAAGTGGTGGCATTGTGAGTTAAATTATGTTTAACAATTCAAGCGCAAGCAAAGAACAACAGTTCAACAAGGGATCAGGTCAGGGTCAGAAATTAAAACTATACTATGTAATGTGGTAATTCTCAAAATATTGAAAAAGTCTTCTTAAAAAGTCAAGATGCTTCCAAATATCACATCTCCCCTGTTAGTCCTCTCACTGTCCTCGGCTCTCTTTATTTTGCCCTGGTTAGCTCAACATGCCCAAATTCACTGTTTTCTTGCAGCCACTCTTGCACCTAGGGATTCTACTTCTGGGTTAAAACCAAAGCAAAACAAAACAAAAAAAAGCCCAAATAAAACCAGAAAGAAACCCCCAAAAAACCAACAACCAAACCCAAAAATTAAAAAAAACAATCTACTTCTCTTTGTGAGACCTCTGACAGATCTTGGATGAGGACACTACATATTATCTTAAAACTAGAATAATTACAAAAATCTGGAGTCTTAGTTCTAGCTATCATTTTGAGCTCTGGAGAAGACTGCAATAAAAATCATGCCACAAAGTTCTCACACCAGAGCAGCTTCAAGAATCCTCAGCTAAATCCAGGTTGCATTTCACTGAATAACAAATGAAGAGCTGTAAGGCAGAAACCTTGCCAACAGACAGGGAGTGGCCATATAGATGAAAATTATATCTGATACATTAGAAATCTGGTGCCAAATTCCCATCTCCATTCATAGTTTCAACAGCCAAAAGACACCCGTGGGAGAAATATTCTCTGTCAGAAACTGCATGGAGATTATACAGCAGCCTACACTAAGCTCTCCTGCAGGCCTTGGCGTAATGTCCTGCCAAGGATAAGAAAGGAGGAGTGATGCTCAGCCTTCCTCTAGACCTGTAAGACTGCAGAAGCTGCTCTTCAGCATTCTCATATTTGGAACTGGAAACATTCTAGCCCTGGAAATATTACTCCAGTGCCTTTAGTACAGAGGAATCTGCGTTGCTGGAAGCATTCTGTTGAAAGAAGTTTATGGAGACTTACAACCTAGACAAATGAGGAGGGACTATCACAGAGAGACTGAGATAATGAACACCAAAGCAAATGTGAAGTTTTATTCCTCAACCCCAATAAACACAAGGTCTCATCTTCAAAGATACACTTTTCAAACACCGGCAAACTGATCTCCTGTCTTCAATGATGAAGGAAAAGTCTGGTCCATTCTTACAGGAGTTATCCAAAAGAAAGGACAGCCTGTCTTAACAGGTAATTGTGGGAAGCATTGCCCTGAGTGTTTGGAGTCTGGCATAATTAAAAGTCAAAGCGGAACTAAATACAAAAACCTAACAGACACATCTAACTCTCAAATAAGTATCACTTATATCACTTATATCACCTTCACAATTGATCAGACACCTGTAAACACAAACTAAGCAAACTTGAGTTTTCTCTGCAAGTTTACTAAAACTTGCATTTTTCACCTCAAAACAGCCACCTTGATGTGCCACTCTTGACCACAAGGGTGAAAGCTGCAGGACCAGGACACTAGACTGGAGACTTTCCAAGTCCAGGAGGCTTGTATCCTCCCCTTGAGGATGCACAGCCCTGAGAACATCTATAACCCTATGAGCCACGTTTCATTAGAATGCAATTAAAGAATTATTTGCCTTTGTTTAAAGTCCTCTTTCCAAGAAGTGAAAAACCTCATAAGGAATTCTGCTGAAGAAATAAAGATGTCTGTTGTTAAACAGCTTTCTCCACAGCTATGATTGCAGAGGAGTTAATTACAACACACAAACTCTGTACACATTTCTTTGGATGCACATTTGCTCGTGGAAAAATAGGCTATATGTATTGGCACCTAAGTACTTCCTCTGTCCTGCCTGTACTATAGCAGTTCACTAAACAGATTTAATTTGCTGTTTCCTTCAAAAGCATTTATTTACCTTTGAAATTTTGGTTTTAACAATAATAGTCTCTTGTATATATACACACACAAAACAACAGCTCCTTAATAATGCCAAGTCAAACAAATGCCCTTTCCATTACCATAGTGAAGGAAAAATGTCCTTGAGTATCTCAGATACAAAATGCCAATAAATTGAATTTATGTCTCATTTAATCTACAATGGAACAGTTAGTACTTAAAGGGTACATACACTTCCCCTAGTCCCCTTCTTCCTGAGAAACTTTCAGATGCTGAAAATCAATTCCTTTTGTCTCCTTGTTATTCATCTGCTACACATTAAGGAGAAACTCTGGGCATTCAGTGATCCCACAATGGTCTTTCATCTCCAGAGAAGCCTGGTATGAATTAAAATCTTACGCTCCCTCAAATTATGGATGCATAGTGCAGCATGCCACTGACTTATCTGCTTGTGATTTTTGCCAGTTTTCTCAGCATGCTGCAGCTGGCTCATCTGCATCTTTCAACTTAAGTGACTCTTCTACAACACTGCCCCTCCAAACCACGAAAACGGGCTTTGACATGGGCATACACAAATATATGTCCCCACACAACAAGTATCACTATCTACTCTTTTTTCCAACTCCCTGACATTTAGAATTTATATTAAAAAGTGGGTTTACTACATCCAAGATCTTGGAACAAGAACAATAAATACTTCATGACAGTAATGTTCTTTCATTTCAGTGCCCTTGAGGGATTAGGATTATACACAAATAACTTTTACCCGATGTAATTTCTTCTGTCATATCTGTTTTTAAGGGCAGTTTTAACTTAGGACATTGTTTTTCTGTAATGGACATAAAATCTAATTGCTGCAGTACTGGTCAAATACACACTGCCCTTTCACTCCCAGCTTCCAGCTAGTCATGCTGCTGGATGTCCTGTACCACAGCAATTCAAGGCCTCCACTCTTAGGTCTGAGAATAAATCAAGGCTTAACATACTTATTTCTTGTTTTACTCTTTGCTGCTCCTTCAGTCTATTTTTCCTGCTTCCAAATGCTGTTTGCCCACTCCTCAACTCTCACAATATTTCCCCAAAGCCAGAGCAACACATTCAAAAAAAGGAAACACTTGTAAATCTACATTCAAATTCCGTCCTACAGGAACCATCATCTTTTGCTAATCGCTTTTACATACAACACTTTCCCCAGACAAGCTTTTAGCCACCTTTCTCTACAATCTCTTAAATGAATCACTTCTTTGTTTAAATTAGATTTCAGTGTGAAATATTTTCCATCAAGCAATCTTATTATCTGTTCAATCTGGTAGTTTGAAGAGCTTTAAAATAAAGCTACTGAAAAGCTAAATTAGAACAAAAATGTGTTCATTATATGTAACCCTGAACAGCAGTTAAAAGGTGAGAACACAGTTCAAGTTCATTAGCTATTTTAGACTCACTTTACAACACAGACTAGAAAATTTGGAGCTCAGCACGTACTGGAAATATGTGTCCAAAGCAACTGTGCAAACAGTTAATAGTGGGCACTGAATGCCAAGTCACATGGAGAGCTTGGGCCAGCTTGAAGCTAGATCAGATACACTTAAGAGTTTGCAGCCAGAGGTGATGCCTGCCCAGCGAAGACCTTACCTCGCTTGAATCCTCCTGCTGATTGATAACAGCTAGTGCATCCTCTGCAGCCTGGCGCTTGGCTTCGGCAACAGTGCGCTCCATCTTGGCTCTCTCTGAAGTGATCATGTCATGAGCTTTCCGCTCTGCCTCCGACACTGCCTTCTGCAACTCAGCCATCGCCTGACGCTTGACTTCATTGACGGCTTCTTCTACAAAGGAGGGAAGAAATTCTCATCAGCACAGGACATTTGGCACAGGGCTATCTAGAAGTGATGCGTGAAATGCAGCAGATACTCTAAGCTCAGATTCTTCCTTTTGTGTAGGACACAGAGAAACCAGGTTCCTCAAGACTGCAAAGATCACCCAGGTCCTTCCTTACCATCACCAAAGTCTCCAACACTTGTGATGGTTCTTTATATTTTGATTCGCAGCCAGTACACTTCTTTAAGTACAGGCATTTTAGATCTCTAGCGCGTTATTTTTGTAATCTTCTTAAACATTTTACTTGGAAAATTAGTTTTGCAGTACACCAGATTTATTAATATGTTTGGCACAAATTAGTATTAAATATATAATATTACAAATTTTTTTCACAAATGTAAATGTAAATGTAAATGTAGCTCTGGATATTAAGACAGTTTTTATAGTCATTAATTTTTTTTCCCCATATGTTAACGAATAAATACATGAAGTAAAAAAAAAAAAAAGTTTATTTTAAAATTTTAAATCACTGGTCTAATATCTTTTCCTGGACATATAATTTTATGAGCCAAAATTAAAATTTGTTTATGAACATTCATCTGACCTCTTGATCTCTCCTTCAAACCCATGTTTACACTGTGAAGACTCAACTTCCTGGCTCCGCAGAGCTCTTGCGCACACCAAAGCCAGCAAGGCTTCAATGCACGATTAACACTGGGCAGGGGCACACCACTTCATTAAATTCAAACCTTCATGCTTCTCGTAAAATAACTAAGTCAGTATGAGCCGTTTCTTCTCTATATACTAGCATCATATCTTTTATTCCGGAAAACATGGATCATCACAAATTAGTTATTTGGGTTTGATGCAGGAAGAGTACAAAGATTTTACTAATGAACAGTCTTTTAATTGACAACTAAAACAAGTAATTTCTTTTTTTTTTTTTAATTAACTACTCTAATTAACAAGGAAACCATCCTCCCCCTGCATTAGTTTATCTAATTTTCATCTTTATTCAAAGTAAAATGACAATGATTAATTGAAAATTTAATAAGCAGTAATTATTAACTTGGCAAACCTAGTACCAATTAACACTCTATTAAAACTAATTATGACATGTTTCATTCAAGTGTTTGCACTTAATTGTTTCATCCACTTAAAACCCACCTTAATTAAATGTTCTGTTTAATTAAAAACATAGATTTCTAATAAAAATGTTTTACTGTAGATTAAAATCTAAGTATTACAATTGTGTTACGGGTTTGAGCTTAGTCCATGCATTTAGCCCATTTATTTGTGTGCACTCACTGGCACAGAGACCTAACTCTTACATACAGATACTAAGTCAATAACTCTCTTGAGCTATGTCTCATAGCTCTACACTTGTTATTTAAAAAACAAGTAAGGACTACACAAAGTCTTCATTTTCAGTTATTAAGCAAATTACAATAAATGCTTAACTTTAAGCCACGTACTAACTAAAATAAAATTTGTTAAAATGAAGGAAGACCTCTATTACTCTGTGTGTGTGTGTGTTATGTGTGTGCATGTCTGCAAGAGATGTTTCAACTGAAGTTTGGTGGGGGGAATTTAGAGATAAAATTTAAGCCTTTGTTTTTATGAGGCTGAAAATATGTCCTTATATTACCCTATCATAAATGTTGTTTAGGGGAAAGCCTCGGGAGAGGCAAAAATCATACCCTTCAACCATACAGCCAAGGCTTAATTTACTTTGAATATTCAAGGTGAATTAAAATTCTATGTAAGTGGCAATACAGGACAATAATTTTTGCTTACGATCAAAACTGCAGCTAGACTAATTGTATATGCAAATCAGGCAATTTATATTTAAATTATGCATTCCTATTCTAGTCCCACAGGCACACACAGATCAGCAAAGGGAATTGGTAGGACATTTGCAAGGTGCTTGAATATTTATTACCAACTGCAAACATTCACTGATCGTGAGAAAAGAAATATACACAGGGAAACATACAGATGTAATTTTATTACAATTTTCATAAAAACGAGGCAACTTAAATACAGACGTTTTGTGTCTGTGAACTGCAGTTACTAACAAAGTGGATTTCTTTGAGAAAATCTGTAGTCTTGCTGATATTTGCTACGAATAGAAACGATCTTTGTATGGCATGATGCACCTTCATTACATCATATAAATTTAGTTTTACGTTGAAGTGTTTTCAGTAGTTAGAAATAACAGTTTAAACTATTATAGTAAACAGAAGCATAATACTCCCCAACATTTTAGAGATTTTAGCAAATCATTCTAATTTTATAGTTTTTCATCCTACATAATCTACTTGTTTTCAGTCTAAATACAGAAACAGAACCTTATATTCCAACTTCTATATTGTGTAAGGTTTTTTGCAAAGCTTCTGAGAGTGTGAAGACGTTAACAGTGATTACAAGGCCATATGCCTGACTGATACTTTTTAATTGGCATAAACTACGGTTTGAACTTCAGTATTTCCATTAACTTTGACAACAGAATTTCTGTTGTGTTATACTAACTGTGAAAACAAATAGTTAAAATACGTTGGGGTTTTTGGTCACAGTGCACCACAATTATTTCAATATATTATGAACTGATGAACACCCAGGTAATCTAGACAAAATTTCCTATCACTGAATTTCTACACATCTTCTCAAAATAAGTGTTTCCACTACTTACAGGTATTTTATAGAGATGGAATGAAGGTTTCATAGTTGCAGGTAACAATAAGAACTTTACTATCTGTGCAGGAAGAGTTATGGCTGACAGTTTTATTTGCTTTGACAATGGTGAGCTATGAAGACCAAGAATGACACCAGCACTCTTCCTTTCTCTGCATTTCCAGAGAAGGGAAGAGTGATTAGATACCAGTATCAGAAAACATAAATCTGGAACTTTTTAAAACCAAGTATCTCAGATGCATGTATCTGCATCCTCTATTTTCTCACTAATGTTAAGCATTCTTGGCATAAATCCACTCTGTCATTTTAGGAATACAATTGAAATCTTCCTTCCCTTTAAGTAGCTCTAACTCATGAGAGAAACTCCAGAAAGCAAACAGCCTGCGTGGTATAGGCATCACTCAGTGTTATCAGAGGTCCTTCAAGCCAACTCAGGAGAGGTACTCAAGTCATCATTCACTGCTGTGTAGAACCCAACATGATGGTTCAACAGCCAGCTCTTGGTCACCTCCCTCACACATCATGGCTCAGTCCACATGGTAAGAAAGAAAAGATGGTGAGCAAGGGTGCAGTCCCATGCCACCATGACATTTTGCATCATCTCGCTCTCAGGCTGACCCTGGCAAAGAAGGCTATTTGTAGTTGGTGACATCAGTTATCTCAGCTTCATACCCAAAAATGCACCATCTCTTTCTCAGGACTACCCTGGAGAAGGTGCAGAGGCCTTATTGTATTTGTATGACAAAGTATGGTCATTCCACATCTGTTTCATAACTCCAGAGCTTCCATTTGAACTGCCATGAACAGTAAGCCTTGCTAAGTGATAGGGGGTAGCTGGAAAACAGTTTCCTCATGACACAAAAAGAAGCTAAAGCAGCAGACCACAGTGGGCCTGGGATCTCCTCAGTATTTAATACAGAGAAATAGCTATTTCTAGAGAGCAAGTCATCCAGCCTATGATCTCACTGATCCTATTCACATGCCTGCCTCTCTCTCTTGACTACTGAGGGACACCAAGAACTTGGTTTGGACTCTTCATCTACATATCTGTAATTCAGTGAGGTGAAATCAGGGCACTGGTGACTCCTTTCTACTCACTTATGAAACTGAATTGGGCTCACATTGGCTTGAATTCACATGGTGCTGCATACTGTGTGCTTGCCCCAACAATCACTAAAGCATATACTTACCTTGGTATAGTTCAAAAATTGTGCTGGAGTCTATCAGTCTCCAAACCTTTAAAGTTAATCCCTTTTTCACATGCTTTTGAGGTTGCTTATTAACCATTTTTATGCCAAATTCACTTCAATGAATTCAGCATCCCAATCAGACTTTTAAACTTGATTCAGCTGTCTACATATCAGTCTTTATGGACATTTGAAATACCAAGCTATCCATACTGAGACAGCAGAAATTACTTGTGAAGGATCTGCAGACTTCTTGTCTGGCAGTTGCACCCCAGACAGGAAACTACAGAGCATCTCAAATGGCACTAGAGATCTATTCTTAGAGAGCTGAATTGCACCTTTAGCGCCTTGATTATGAGACATCCAACTTCAGTGCACCCTCCTGAAAATGAAGGCCCATGACTTAGGAGAAGCAGTATGCTTTCATATGTTTTACTACTCTCAGTAACAGATACAGGTATGCATCCTGTAGGGAGTCAGACTGGTTTTATTCTCCAGTTCACAGACATGCTCAGTTAATACAAGGAATCTGATTTAAACACACATTAGCATGAAAATAGAGACTGGAAATAGGACCACACAGAAAACTCCTGTTTCAAAGGAACTGTTAACATATATGTTCAGAAGATGACATGTCACAGCTCCTGTATACCACCATTTGTGGCTATATGCAATGTGAATGCACATCCAATTTTATAACTCAAGCTAAAACCTCAATTAACTTGTGTCGCTAGCTTATGAAGAAATTTTCTTTTATAGTAGTGCATCTGTGAGTCATAAATGACCTGATATGACAAATGACATAAAAACCTACATTTTGAAAGAGGGGTAAAGTTCCTGAAATTCAACTGAATGATGCTCCTCTTACTAAGATTTCCTGGAACTGCATATTTTTTCTTATTTTTCATTTAAGAAGTTAACATAAATACAGCAAAACAAATTGTAAAAATACTTCTAGACATTCAGTTACAAAGGCTATACTTTCCTTGGAAAAAAGAAAATTACATAGATTGTTTTGTTATTTTTCATAGAAAACACCACAGTTCAAAAAATATTAACATACTGACAAATGTAGACTTTACATGATAAACCCACACCACACAAAAACCACAACTCTTTGTCCGATGAAATGATATGCCAGCATAACTGTTTTACGCATATGTTCTGTATATAGTTTAAAATACACCAAAAAGCAGCAAGTAGTTACAGGAGATTTGATCAGAAAGCATATTTGCCATTTAATCATTAACTCCTGCTCAGACAGCTGCTGTAGACTTCATGGTTACACAGGTGTTCAAAAGCAGGGTGTGTGTATAAGTGTACATATAGAAGTTCAACTACCTTGCTGAAGTTCAAGAGCTAATTCCTGGCCCCTCTGAAAACAAGGAAACTCATATCAATGTCAAAAGAGCAAAGGTTTAGTTCCAGCACCACAATGGGATCCTTGCCAGGAAACTCCTGCGCTCAGGCAGAGTTTCAAAGTGTTGAAGAAAACTCTCTGCACAACCACAATATCTGCGCATGGTGCCTTCCAAGCTCAGGGAAGATGCTGTCAATTCCTGTGCAACCATCCAGAGCAATGGCTGAGACATGATCTTGCTTACTTCATTGAAAACTTTGCAGGTTTATGAGCATAGACCTCACTGGGGGCTGACAGGCACAAGATCTTTTTTTTAAAATTAAGAATGGTTACACTGCATAGCTGAAGGTATTTCTTTAACAAGTATACTTAGGTTTTTTCCCCTCCTTTGGGAATTCTTACCTTAACTAGGTAAGAATCTTGAAGCTTAAAAAAAAAAAAAAATCCCAATTTAAAAAAAAAAAAATTGCTAACAGACTGAAACTTTAGTATATCACGTTTCATCCTGAAACCATTATAACCCCTGAAAATAGGGGGCCTTAATGGAACTACTGATATCCCCTAACCATAGCAGCAGATGCTTCTATTATAAAGATGATTTCATGTCCTGATCAGTTCCAGTTTAAGATTATTAAACACAATTTCTTCTTGTTACTACTAGTAAGCCTTTTTTTTTTTTTTTTTTTTTTTTTTTATGCAGCTGCCAGAAGACTAAGCTGGTGTTTTTAAACAGTTCTTACCAGCTTTCTTCCAGATCTCCTCTGGCACATATCCAGACGCAGGCCTGTGAAGGAATTCCCGATGTGATTCTGCAGGAGGAGGGGGTGTGGAGGGAAAAAGAAAAAGCATCATAAGCAATGCTTGCTTTTTGAGAACAAGGCTTAGAGAAATACCTTTTTCCTTTACTTATTGCTCAGACAAAAAAATTGCTTAAATTTTTCTTTACTAAAACTAAAACGGATGCTGTGGCTGTAGCTCATGAATGTCACATGGACCAGATCAATGTTTAGGACTTGAATATCTCATCTTAAGGCAAGCTGGGATGAGTTTGCTTTATTTTAATTTTACAGCATTTCAAGTCAACCCTATATGACAGTTTCCACGCTTTTAAGGCTGGCTTTGCGAGGCCAACTGAGGGAGTGACGTGCTTCATCCTTTGTCATTATGTTTATGAAAAGGAAGGAGAAAGAGGGCAACAGTCCAGGATTGGCACTTCTGCTCTGTGAAAACAGAATGGCTACTGAGGAGTGGAGATAAAAGCCAAGATGTCATTCCAGTGATCAAATAAGCTGTCCACAGAAAAAGAAAGGGGTGTTTCTCTATGTTCAGAGCTATGCTTTCCCATATCTGAGGCCATGTTGGCAACTGTAGCTGCATGAGTGAAAAACAGAACCTTTAACTTTAGGTTAAGCCCCTAAATACATATGCTGCCAAACAACCTCACTAGAGCTGAAGCTCGTATTTCACCCGTATATTTCAATCACATTTTGACAACTCTTTCCCCCTCCCCGTCCTCTTTTTTTAAAGGGTTTAACCTCTGGGCCTGAGCCTAAGAGCTCTGAAATCAGTAAGATCCCTTCCACACAGACTTCAAAGACGGAAGATCAGACAATACAGAAAGAAAATTCACTTTGGCCTGAAATTTAGCATACAGATTCTCAGGAGATTAAAAGCTGCCCCTTTTCAAACACAATTTAAAAACCAATCAACTATTTTTCAACATAACAGAGGAGAAATTGAAAGCAAAAACAAAACCACATAATGGTAAGTTCACTGCCGTGATTCCTATTGCCTGTGTGACAGAATTCAATTGTCAAAATAAAATAACTTGATTTATTACATTAAAGATAAGGTTTGAATCTTTTTAGAAATGTTGCTAGAAATTAAACACCCTTTTTGATGACTGAGTATGAAACATTAACAAAAGTACACGTGCCATTCTCTGAATACTAATTTTTACTAAATATATCCATTTTTTGCATCTTAAAGTTATAATTTGCTAACTTGGTCAAAAAGTAGTATTTTTAAGAAAAAGATTGAACCATTAGGTTTTGCAAATTGTTTCACACCATCATACATATGCATGCAGTACTCTGTATATACAGTAGGCTACAGAAACTTAAATACATTTAAAAGATGACATTTAATATTTCAGACAGCTAACAAAGGTGGAAATGACAAGGGGCTGTTTCAGCTACGCAGAGAGTAGGGAATCCCAGTCCCTGCGCACTGTTCCACAGATGCAGTTTCTAGCACGTGAATCTGCAGACACCGACGGGGTGGACTGAATCTTCCCATCTGACAGGCAGCTGAGTGGATATCCCCAGCTCTCCTGTTTGTCACTAAAGTATGGGATGAAAATAAAATGGATTTTTTGTAGGCAGAATTTCACACCTCTCGAGCACAAAATGATGGGTGGGTGTGCGCAATATTCTGCAAAACAGCTAACTATTTACAATGGTTTAATTGACTTGATAGAGGACTGCAGACCTGGTGCTGAAAATGGGAAAATTCTCAGTATCACTTGGCTCATATGATTCTGGAGACAACAAATACCATTGTGTACACTTCTCCCATCCCTTGGAGGCTTTTAGACTTACAGGCACAGTGCCAGTTCAGTCAGGGACAGAGGCGGCAGCAGCTAACATTGCTTGAAAGCTCAGGAAAACTAAAGTTGAAAAATTAAAACACTCTTTATTTGTAATCCTGCAATACCTGCAGGAAAAGACCCAACCAGACTCCAAATGAGGCAAAACAAGGGGTTTGTTGCATTCGTGTTTTGTACTCTATGATGACTTTTCCTGGCTGTTATTTAAGGTACCGTCATGGCAAGGATCATAGCCTTGATTTAAGCCCTTTACCATGGTACTTAGTATTACAAATAAAAGAGACGTGGAGCTGATTTTTTTTGGTACACATGACTTTCCAAAAATGGAATTCAATGACATAAATGACCAGATTGCCAACTAATTGTTAAAATTTCCAAAACATAAACATCAATCAAGCTCTTATTCCAACCACAAATTATTTACATGAGGAACGGGATCCTCTGCAAGAAGAATGAAATCAAGAGCTTGTAAGAGACTTTCCCATAGTTTGGAATGGCACATAAGAAAAGACAAGAAGCACTTATGAAGATAATAAAAAACATATTTCCCAAGTAAAAGAAAAAAAATTATTAGCATGGCCATTGTTTAGTCAGTGGTGATGAGTCCATGAAAACAATCTTCAGGGCTAAACTACAGGACATGACTAAAGGATATGTCTTATATTACTGTATTTTTAAGGTAAAGTAACACATTCAGATTAAAAATCTGAATTCAATTTAAAATCTCCAGATTAAGAATCACAGGGCTTGCTCACTAAAACACAAAGAGTCTTAACTTGGACATCTAGCAAACTCAAACGAAAAGTAACACAGTTGAGTGAAGTCCCTGAAATACCAAACGCAAAACTGCAAAAACCCATAATGAGGAAAACACATTATATAGACTAACTGCAGCACCTAGAAGTCACAGTAAATTCTACCTGGAAGGACACAGAATGAGTTAACAGCTTTACTGGTCAGACATAATACAAAGGGGTTTTAACGGTAAAAATGAAACAATGCTATTATGTAGAACAATGGGATGTACACTACTAAATTTACTTGAAATTCATGGCAAGGAGTGGTTTAAAAGTACTTGCTGATAATCAGTCTGGTTCCTACTGAACCTGATGAAAAAGCCAAACAAGGAAAATAAAAAGCACATACACATGAGAGTAATAAGTACTTGTCTGTGGAGAGCTTAAATGACGTAAAAATAAAATAATTTTTAAATATTTTTTTTTTAATTTTTAATTTTAATGTGAAATACAATTTTCAGCAAGAAAGATGTTGGACTGGAGCGTAAGAACACACATGATGAAAAGACACAAAAACTGGTCTCTGAGCCTTGCATTCTTTTGAAGAGTAGGGAAAAACATCATACATTATTTTGTAAAATATATAGAAAAAGTACTATTTTTAGTCTATACTTGATTTTTTTTTTAATAAAAAAGAAAACATTCACCCCCCCAAAAATCATACTGTTACAATATGGTGTGGGGTTCCATATGGGCCCTGGCGTATTTCAAGAACACATTCAACCACAAGAATCATCACCAGTTAATTGATCGACCAGGTTTCTGGAGTCTAATGAGTAGAAATATATTGTAGATGGCTTATTTTTGGTGGTTTTAAGATAAAGAGAATAGGTGCTGAATGTACTGAAATAGAGAGATGTGGAGAGTTGTAAAAGCAAAAATAAATATGGGTCTGGGAAGTGAAACTTGAGACAAAAAGCTAGGACCAAATAAAGTATATGAACTCTCACAGGATAAAAGGGCCAAACCCAAGAAAACAAGAGCAGAAAACCTTAAAAGGACAAGATGTGTTCAAGAGTCTCAAAAAGCCTAATCCATATTTGGAAAGAAGGAACAGAAGATGGGTTGACAATACAAAAGAATTGAAGTTTTTATCACTGGACAATGACATCCAAGTCTATAATAACAAAATATGAAGAAACGGAGATTAAGAGCTGATCTTTTGAGGATCTTTTGGAATTTATTCTATTTAGGAAAATACTGGCAGTGACATCAATACCCTACATGCCATAGTGAACACTGGGGCTAAAAATTAATAAAAGCTGCATATAAGCAGCCTTGAGCTAGAGATTATTTCATATATAACTATATATATATAGTTATATGCTTTTATATGCATTTATATGCCATTCATATTTCATATGCAAGCTTTGCTTCATTCTACCCTACAAGACCCACTTACATGGGACAGACAAGAAAAAACTTCTCAGAGGAACAAATATCAAATATTCACTGCCTTGTTTATAACAGTCAAACTCAAGTGTTGCACTCCAATTAATGAAATATACAGATACAAATCTGAAAAAGTGCAATACTGAATGAGACTACTTTGCTAACCTTGTCAGGGGCATGAGTTTCAAGTATTTTTATGTACATCCTTGCCCTTCTTTGCCCTCTAATAAATTTCCGTGGCTATTGCAACACTCCTTGAAATATGTGAAATTGCGTGTTCTCATTTTAAAAGAATAAGAAAAGGAAAACCACACAGCTACTGTATTACTCAATCATTCTCAACCAAGATCAAGTCAGAGCTGAAAACTAAGAATACATTCGTGCAACGTTTCTGCAGCTGTAACCCTATCTAATGGCATATAATTCAGTATGCCACAATCCAGCCCAAACCTCCTGTGCAGTGAGTGGATTAAGACCAATACTTAATATCATCAGTGACCAGTATTACAGAGGCTTTACATTCTAGAATTACAAGTTATAAATGTTACTGTGGTATTCATATCATCTCCCTTGGCTCATATTGAGAATACCGTGCATATTACAGCAATGCTGATTTCCTAGAGAATATGATGTGCTACGGTCTAGACAAGAGGTCTGTGCAGTGGGTGGGGAACAGGTTGACAGGCTGCACACATGAGTTGGTGGGAAATAGCTCCTGTTCAAACAGACAGCCTGTCATAAATTGGGTCTCCCTGGGATTGATATTGGTCCAACACTAATATGTTCATAAATGATCTGGATGATGGGATCAGTTGTACCCTGATGAAGTTTGCTAATGATACCAAACTGAGTGGGAAGTGGACACTTTGGAAGGGAGAGCCACCCTGCAGGAAGACCTGGATAGGCTGGAAGAGTGGGCTAATGAGAAATTGATGAAGTTCAACAAAGACAAGTGTCAGGTCTTGCACCCGGGAAAACTTAATCCAGGAGTGCAGCACAGGCTGGGATCTACCCGGCTGGGGAGCGGCTCTGTGGAAAGGGACCTGGGGCTCCTGGTGGACAACACAATACATATGAGTGAACGGTGTGCTGCAGGGGCAACGGAAGTCAATGGGATGCTGGGCTGCATCAACAAAGGCATCACCAGCAGAGACAAAGAAGTCATTACCCCACTCTACCCAGCGCTTGTCAGGCCACACCTGGAATACTGGGTTCAGTTTTGGTCCCTGCTGTGCAAAAAGATGTGGACAAGCTGTAGAGGGTCCAGAGGAGGGCCACAAAGTCAGTCAAAGGACTGGGAAGCCTGGCATATGGGGAAAGGCTGCGAGAAAGGCTGGATTTTTTCAGCCTTGAGAAAAGAAGGCTTAGAGGAGACCTTATCACCCTGTTCCAGTATTTAAAGGGTGGCTACAAAAGAGATGAAGACTCCCTTTTTACAAGGAGTCACTTGCAAAATACAAGGGGTAATGGGTACAAGTTTCTCCTGGGGAAATTCTGACGACATAAGAGGAATTTTTTTCACAATGAGAACAATCAGCCACTGGAATAATCTCCCCAGGGAAGTGGTGGATTCCCCAACACTGGACACTTTTAATAATCAGCTGGACAGGATGCTGGGCCATCTTGTCTAGACTGTGCTTTTGCCAAGAAAGGTTGGATTAGGCGATCCTTGAGGTCCCTTCCAATCTGGTATTCTATGATTATCTGCAAATGGAACTGGGAAGAATTTATAATCACAGCATGAATAGACATGAATTGGCAGGAATGCCCTGGCTAACACTGAAAGTAGAGGTGAACAACCTTCAATAAAATATATACCAGCTTTGAAAGAGTTAACCTTTTAAAATGTGTTAAGAAATGGCTAACCTATGTGTTTTTTGACAAATTCATACACTTCTGAGAATCCTGACTTCCTGGGGCAAATCCTGCAGGTATTGGCACTCTTCAGTTGGATATTTCAAACTGTATTTTGTAAGATTTCCATTCAGATAAAGTCAACAGACACAAAGTATCAACATCACTGCAGAGTGTCTGATGTGTTCCTACATTACTTATCTAGAGCCACAGCTGCACTCAATAAGGCTATAGATCTTGTTTATAACCCATGATGTTGAAGAACCCTCATCTTTAATTTATCCGACTGTGAGTATTTCAGTATACAATGTCTGATATGTGTAATTATTCACTATTAGGATGAAAGTTGCAGTCCTGCTGCAGTATGTAGTACTGAAATTCTTCAGCAGAAATGGAGGAGTCGGATGATGTATTATTCACTTCACAGACCATCACAGTTCATCAAACGAATATATATAAAGTCTGAGCCATTTTCAGACTTTCATAAACATGTATTATTCAGACTGAAAAGAATGGACCCCATCTTACCTTCAACACACTCTCAGAGAATAATGAGAGCTTGTAACCTGTTGTAGCTGGCTAATGCATGTATTGAATTTCACTGCATTAAAATGAATGATCAAATACTTCATTTGATTTCTTAATTAAAAATACCAACAGAAAAATATCGATCAGATACTGCAAACTGTCAAGCTCAACATGATTTACATGGCTGTCAAATTAAAACAAGCACAAAAATCTTCCGACAGGAAAAAAAGGCTACCGGTTTTAAATGACGACCAAAATTTTCTTCTATTTCTCCTGGACTCAAACTATCTATACTAGAACTTCAGCTCAGAGTTTTTCAGCAGGAGCTATCTATGAAGACCGTGGCATAATGTTTATAGCAAGAACTTATCACTTCAGTGATGATATTTTAATCATAAAGAAAAAGAAACAAAGGCACAGACAATGTAGCCATATGGCCCCCTTTTTTTCCCTCTTCCTAGTGGAAATGACAAGATGGATTTAAAGGGTGGATTACCTCATTTTTATTTTTTTTTAAAATAAAGTACAAAGGGGAATCACTGACATTTAGAATCCCTGCGGCAAAACCCAATATTTACATGTTGTGTGGCACTTTAATTAAAATATTGGAGTAATTTTTCAACCCCTTCCTCCCCACTTCAAAACTAAAATTAAAAGCCCTGAACAGGACAGAGTCTCAAGTCCCACGGACACCACTTCAATTTTATTATATCTCTGAATGTTAGGAGTTTTCATTTTGTTAACTAGATTACTACCAGATTTGAGGACATATAAGGATTACCTTTCCATAGACACTAAAGGAAGTATTTTCTGCCTTATATATCAGACATAAAAGCACTTATTAGCAATATTTACAGTTGGCATGGAAGCTACATCACTGAAGCGATCCAAGTTTTGAGTCCATGACTCTTGGAAGTAGTTTTTAAAGCCAAATAACCAAAATGGATGTGTTAAAAATGAAACGGACTCACTCCAACCAGTTCGGTTGTACTCACATTACTGAAGACACGAGTGGTATATCCAATGCTGAATGTGTCATATAACATCTTTTTAAGCAAACAGACTTTGCCATTTCGAGTAATTTATCTTGACAAAGACAGAAACAGAATTATAATGCTGAGATCTAATTGTAGGTTTGATCTTCATTTTATCTTTTTTTGCTGTTGATGTGGTTATGACTATTTTCCTTGGATTGTACTATTATCTATAAAGTTGTGATAAATGTCTTGAGTACCAGTTTCTTGGGGGAAATTATAAAAACTCTGTTTCCTTTCATTTTTTTTACCTACTAACTATACTTACAAGCCCCATGGCCTGGCTCTTTTTGCATCATAGATTTAATAGAGAAAGGTGCCACTGATTTTGATCTAGGGGTTTCCTCACAAGTGTTCTTCCTGAAGCTGCAGATGTGATCAACACTTCAGATGCCATATTTATGAGTCTTCCTTTACATTAAATTTAACACTATTCATAGAAACCATTACCTGAATGCTTCTTTCTGAGAAGGGCTCCTCTAGGGACTAGACTTATTAGTGAAGTTAGGAACACCATTTCCATAACCCTTCCTTTAACTGACTGAAGCTAATTTATAGAGCTATTGAAAAAAAAAAAAAAAAAAAAAAAAGTTTGTTTGTTAGCAAGAGGCACGTGATAACTCTAGAGATTTACCAAAAGGAAGATGGGAGAGGGCCTTAGATTTCTTTTCCTGTTTTTGTATTTGCAGTTAAATAAGTTGTAGATTTAATAAGTTATTTTTAAGGGCAAAGAAGAAAAAACCACAGCTTTAAATAAAATACAGTTTCAATTCTACTACTGATGATTTTGAGTAGATGGCACTCTGTATGGACAATTTATTTTTTGAAGATAAATATTAGATAAGCAATCATAGTTTGCTGTTCGTTTCAGAGGAGCAGAGATCAATAAAAAGGTATCACCAAGATGCGTTTCTTTACCACACCATGCTCACAAGATAAAAGCTTGCTGTTATATGGCAGTCATCTTAGAGTAGTTGTGTGAGGTACTGTGCGATTGTGACTGTGAAGGTCTGCAGGGGGTAAAAGTTCACCTGCTTGGTCTGCTCCTTATAAGTGGGCTTTGCAGACTGAGCCAAGTTTTGAGCAGTTCCATGTAACTACACACTCAGCAGTACCCAAAGTACCTCAGACACATCTATGTGAGCTGCAGTGGTGGACACAGACCTAGGAGAATCATCTGTGCATGCCTGTGGGCATCCCAGATATTTCTTTCTTATAAGGAAACCAAGTACATCTGAGAATTGTCCGTATCTTTTTATGTCCCTTCATTTCCTTAGAAAGACAACTTCCAAGTTAAGTCATTTGATTCGAGAAGGTGAAAGTTCTTGGTTTCACAGTGCTAACAATCCAGAAGCACCTACAGATGTCCTTAATCAAGCAAGGGAGGGAGGGAGATGGCAAAGATGGAGAGTCAGGGCACATCTCACCACTCTGCCATACCTACATGACAATCTGTCCTCCCACCCCACCACTCTCAGACGTTGCTGAATGGAAGCAAATTACCAAGCATCACCTTAAAATCCAAGCCATTCCACATGTAAACACAACTACTAGGGGATAAGAGTTATAGTTAATTCAGTAGTCAGCAGAGACTATTTAATCACTACCACAGAAGAAGAATCCAAAGAACAAATACAAACTTCACCTAGCACTTAGATGAGCTGAAAGAGCACTGGTAAACAATTTTTAATGAGGATACTGTACCTAATGTAACTGGATCTGGATTCACTGGACTCTGCTGTCTGGAATGACTACTGCTGCTGTTACTGCCTTTTTTTAAATCTTCCGCATCACTGTACCGCCGTATCCAATAATTAAGCTCCTCACGGTCTGCTTCTTGACATCGCCGTAGTACAGTGAGAGATCGCCTAGTTTTTTCCACCATGTCCATTATACAGTTTAACAGCTGTTCACAGCAATGGATGGAGCAGAGAAACAAAAAAGAACATTTTATTCATAAACTGACAAAAAAAAAAAACGTTAATGTGCTGGATGCCTGCATTTTAATAATGAAGGAGTCTCTCCCTGTTATCTCAAATACAGCTGAAAAATTCTAATCTTAAGAATGATAATCCACTCCTGTTTAACTGGTGATCCTAAACTGTACAGATATGGATTTCTGGGGGAAAGGGTTAAGACAAGGGGGGAAAAATGAACAGACTGTAGTCCCACCACTAGTATCACATGGCACCACAGAGGCCAGGAGATCTGGTCCAGAACTGATGCCTACAAATGTTATAAGAGCTAATAAATTCAAAGAACAAATCCAATGTGTCCCAGATTCAGGGTTTATAGATCAGAGACCATTCTCCTTTTGGAAGCCAGTAATAATCAGGATACTGCAGTAGGCACTTAACAGCAAGGCCTGGTATGAGCTACCTAATAGGGAACAACAAGACCTCTGATTTAATCACCAGTGCTTTCAAAACTTGTCCAGGAATTGAGATTTTTTAAAAAGAAAAATTTAAAATTCCTATCCTAGAAGGCTACTTTCAGACAATTATACATAAGAGTACATTTAGCCCTTACATGGTCAAGGTGTTTCCACTCTTCTGCCCATTCTCTGTCTGTTAGCCTGTGATCAATCATTTCTTCTTGACGTGTGCCATGCAACCCTGCCAAAAAGGAGTAAATAATGTTTACCGTGCTAGGATTCCCCAGGGTGGGGGGAAGAACCTGTGAGACAAATATATCATACATTACCTAGTCTAGTCAGAAATGCCACCACAAAAATAAATGGCTGCTTAAAACCTTTGCTCTACGTTCTTTTTAGCACTTGTCCCCACATAACATGCCACTCTTTTATTCAAATTAATGTCTCCAATTCCACAAGTTCTGTAGGTTGCAAGATGACCCCTCAAAAATGGAACTAACTCTTTCTGACTATATAAAATTATAATACATAATACAATACATAATATAATACAATATATAATTTTTCATTTGCACTACTTGAAGAAGTCAGAAAGACAATTATTTGGTTACTCAATATATTGAATACTAGCTGTACTTCAGAGTTGAAAAAATATTAGTAGAAACTCAATGTTATTTTGCTAAATGCAGTAATTACTACCATGTCAACAGAGCATCATTAAGGGTTCATCCCTTCACAGATGTTTAAACATGTGGTTAAAATGTAGCACATATATCAGAGCAGCTGACAACATGATACAACCAAGCCAGTATTTATTATCAACACTCAAGAGGAACCGACACTTGCTCTTTGTTTAGCCTCCTCTATACAGATGCTGAATATTTGTAAATGTTCCTCTTTTATTGAAGATTTGTTTAAAACAAGGAAGAATAAGTGCAGATGTGAAGCAAGCCAGGCAAATCCAAAAGCATCAGACATCCCATTAAACCAAAACGTGCTGTGTGTGGTGTGGTTGGAGCTTCTGCTGTTTGCATCCTCTGCAGACATCCCCACGCTGCACCACACTCTTGAGATGTCACACATGTAACAATTCTCCAAAGTCTAATAACTTTTCTCTAGTCTAAGATGAAATCAAGCTACATCAGTGCTGTTATTGTCAGAAATGTGGCATTGGAAGAAAAATAAAAGGCTCTACCTATCCTTGCCTGCCAGATACATGAGTGTCCATGTCATGTACACAGCTGTGAAAGCACTGGTTCCTCTCTTGCTTTAGAGTGTAGCAAAGACACAATTCAATCCACTTTTACAAATATAAATCTGAAATAAGGCTATTAGAAGCAGCTAGATGGACAAACAGTTATAAAGGCTATATCTGAACGGCAGGTAGATTTCATTAGAAAAAAACCCAAACATTCAAAACACAGAATATAATTACAAGGAAAAGAAAAACCTAAGAAAACAATGCAGAAAGTCAACATGCCTTACCCATAGGTCTGTTTCTGTCCCTGAGGTCCCTGTGATTGGGGTGTCTGTATGAGTCCCTGTAGTGGTGGGCAATGGCCATATCATCCAAACGATAATGCTGAGGTGGAGGTGGGGTGGGATGAGGCAGACCATTGGGCTGATAAGATAAGCCATTATTTGGACTGTACCGCTGGCCTGGGCTAATAGTGCAGGGCCGCTTGCTTGGATGCTCTGAGTGCAAAGGCTCTCTGTCAAAGCCATTTTCTTTGGTTCTGAAAAACAAAGCAAAGGAACTTTAATTCACTTAGTGAGCAGAGCTGCTCGGGAGTACACACCCCCATCTGCATGTGCAGCTTCGGGAAATAAAGCTTGTTCTTCCACTTTGCTCCAAGTGTGTGGTGCTATAGAACATTTCTGTTCTTCCACTTTGCTCCAAGTGTGTGGTGTTCAAGAATGTTTCGTAACACTGCTCATTCACAATATACAAAGGACACATTCACCTTGTCTAACTATCCCTGTAACTTGAGAAATACTATCAGGGTGAGCCTTCCAGCAGAGCGGCTTAAAGAGCTGGACTGAAAAGCAAGCAGCCTTTGCTGAAATCCCCAGCTGATGGGATGGATACACACGTAATTGCAGAGCTGAAACAATCAACTGGTACATGAAGCTAGAGGCCAAGAAATTCCTCCTTTCAGTAGTGCTATAGCATCTAGTAAATTAGGGGAAATTTTGTGTTAAAGAAATACGTTTAGCATAGAGTCTTAAGGTCATGTGTGTCAGCGTGCTGAAGCTCAGCCTTACGTCACGCCCATCAAGATCAGTGTCATACCAAGACTCTGGGCAAGAGTGACTCTAGATGATGAGAAATGAGAAATGAGAAATGCTTCCTTCAGAGATTTTTGAACCATTTGGGCTATTTAGGTCAAAGGTGCTGTGACTGACATTAATTTTGGAGGAAGATGTGGTTAGACTCATGTCCTTGATAACAGTCAAGATTTCCCACTCCATTACTCTTAGGACTTCTATGTTCAGGCAACTTTAAAGAGTTATCAGAAGAAGGGCAGTTTTTTACGTTATAGATACTCATTAATTCAGTTCATAATTAGCTCCAAAGAGGTGTCAGTTCCAAAGCCGTCTCTACTTTGCACCTCTGCCTGAGAACCTGGAACTCACACTGAACTAATTTTACATTAAAATAATAAAGAAACGCTAGAGTTACTTCAAACAGGTTCACAACTCCTTTTAGGGAAGCTTCATTTCACTGAAGTTTGTGGACTTTTTGCCACTGGAATAAACAAAACCTACAAAGTACTAGCTTTGAACAGAAAGGTTATTAGATATAAATACCACACTGCTGAGGTTGCATCCCTCTCTTCAAAAACTTTTACTAAAGAGCTGATATATTCTAGCCTTTTTTAATGAGAATCTCCTCTGTGATTTACGGATGGCATAACTTATCTTCCTAATAATAACACAATTTTTTTGTCACTTTGACGGGAAGGTAAATTTGATCTATTTTTGTTGTTTGCCTGCTGTTAAAACCAACTATCCTTCAACAAACCCTCCCCCACAAGCCAACCAACCTCAAGGGACTGTGTGGAGAAATGCTCAATGTATTAATTGTTGCCCCTCAACAGGCCTCTTTTAATGTTAATGAGAGGAAGGATGAAACCAAAACTTTGCCAATATCCACTGGGAGAGAGGATCAAAGTAAGATCTTGCAATTACCAGCAGGAAATTAAAAGATGGGTTGTGCTGTTTTCAGAAGAAGTAAAGATATTTTCCAGGGACCTCACTGCAGTCACTAATGCCAGAGAAGCTGCAGACATACATATTTTACTATACCTTAACTTGGCAAAAAGGAGAGAATCTTTCACCAATACAGCAGGACAGCTGTTCTAATTTTGGGCAGAGGTATAAAAGACTTATTTGTAGAAGTGGAGTATGTACCTTGTTCCAAAGCAAACGCAGAATGGCTGTGAAAACTCCTCATCAGGAAAACCTGAGGACCACCATATATTTTTAATGGCTTTTGGCACAATGGAACTGCTTGCAATAACTCCCAATGGGCAGTGATATTTTTGACAGCTCTCCAAGACAAGTTCGGTATTTAGTTTGCTGGTGTGTGTTTTCTTTGCACACATCTACTCAAACTCAGTGTCCAGGTCTTTCGATTGTAAAAATACTACGCAAGCAAAAACCACACTTTCCTTAATGTACAAGCTAAGCTATTCATTTGCCAAAGTTCATTAGTGTTACAGTTAGAATGATCTCTAGATAAGATGGGGGAAAAAAATCAGAAACTATAAATCATGAAATAACTTCACTGACTTTTTTTGACCAGTGTACGAAAAGCAAGCCAGAAAAGTGGGACAAGTAGGAATCCAGTTTTCCTTTTCTGCATTATAATTAAATTTTTAAAGTCCTGTTTACATACAATTGTATGTATTTGCACCTTACTGCACAGGTACTTTTGTGGGTTTTTTTAGGAATTCTTTTTACTTAATTACGTTAACCAGAATGCAATGCATTAGCTTGGACAACACACCAGCATATCCACTTTCTTCTAGAGCCCGGAGTTTAACTAACACAAAAATTAACATTACCACTGGAAACACATTTACTGAAATTAAATTCTTATTTTTGTTATTATGCTGAGCAACAGCTGTCAGGTCTTTTCTTCTTAAAACCTGAATTCTACAATTTATTGTTATATTTTCTGCACTGACCAAATAAACAATTATTTAGCAGAATACCAGAATGTGACTGTACATAAGCTCATTTTGTGTTTCTGACCATATAAAATATATAAAAAGATAACAGCTTTCAAAGTCTCATCAGAACAGCAATCACTAGCAAATTTATATCTGAATATAGTGACTATAGTGATAAAAGGCAAAGTACTGAAGGGTGCCATAACCCAGATGCTCTGAACTCAACCCAGTATTCTGCTTCTGATCTCAGTCCTACACATTCTTCCAGGTCTCACCCCCTTGGGAAAGCAGCATTTCCCCAGGTGTCTGAGGAAGCATTCTGGTTTGACAGTAACTGGCAGACCCATGAGTACTAGTTCCAAATCCAAAGCCAGTACAATTTTAATCTGATATCTGATCCATCTGAATTTGCAAAGCAGCAACAAGCTGTAGAGAGGAAGTAACACTAAATGTGTAGAAAGCCTAATGGACACATTTTCTTGGTTTTCTTTTTCTTGCTCTTGTTGGTCACATTTTCCTTGACGTGCACATAAATCAGCACTGTTTGGTTGTGTTTTTTTTAAATGACAATATGATAAAGATGGGGTCCTTCAGCTACAAACATGCAAGGGTCATTTTACCTGGAGTCATGATTTGCTCAGATTAAATAAAGATAGGAGAATAGACCATTAGTCTGTAGCAATTTAACAGACTTTATGCTGTTTCTAAGTTATCATTTGTTTTAAATTATTGCAATTTATGGATAATTTCCTGGGTAGAAAATATGACTATGCAAAACTGCCTTGGCTAGAAAATCGTTTCATCTGATCAAGACTATTATACCAATTTCAAAGAACACCAAAGTCAGCTTGCAAGAAGAAGGCAAAGCTATTCATCTGCTATTTGTGCAAGATGCTTTGATTTAAACTGGGCTTCCACCAATAAAGTCTTGATGACCAAACAAGTGATAATGCTTTGCTGGAATAAAATACCTTTATATATATATAAAATACTGTGTTACAGAAAATATTAATATTGCCTTTCTAACAGTTCATATTAAGATAAAACTTTTAAAATTCTTCCTTCATAAATACATGTGATTTAGAAGAAGCATAGCTGTAAGAGCTGTGAGCATTCTTCAACTTATTGAGATGTGAACGAGCTTCTTCAAATAAGATTTAACTAACAGAATTAAGGTCAGTCTCTGTACCCAGTTGCCTTTGACACCAATTCCTTGTCAGGGGTGCCAAAGGTACAGCAAGCACAGCAGCACTTTCTAAAGTCACAAAACAATCATGGCCAATTTTGTTTTCTTCTCACTCAGAGCTATTCTAACAGATTTTCTTACTATCCTGTATCCAGTTTGTAAGCAGCTGTCATAAATGTAGAGTCAGTATATGACACGCTCATGTGCCATAGAGCCCTTCCCAGCAAGCTCAAAGGATGACTAATTAGCAAAAAGTCTTTTGTGGTTAACGAATTTAAAATAATGTTATTTATAACTAAGCATTCATTCACCGAAATAAATACTCACATTGGTCCAAGTTCCTTTGCTTTACTACAGTAGAATATAAACTCCAAAAGTTGTAAACAAAATATAGTGAACACTTTGTTCATGACATGTCATGAACAAATTACCAAAATGTGTTGTCTCCTCAGGTGTCAGTTTTTCTCTCTTGCAGTGACTGATGGTTCCCAGTGTTATTACAGAAACAGATTGATCTTTTTAATGAGCTAGTTTAATATACTCCAAAATCTCACCGTGGCTGCTCATCCGTGTCAGACCATATGCACCAAGAAAACATTCAGTAAAACACGAAGCTCTGCTGTCAGATTGCTCTATAAAACCTCACATACAGTAGACTTGGATATGCAGATAAATAACCAGAACTGGAAAATGCATATGCAAAAAAGGGTCTGAAATTATAAGCAGAAAAAAATTACTGTATGTAGATTTTCTTAAAAAAAAAAAAAAAAAAATCACAGGGTGGGGGTGGTTATGTGCAACACACACTTTCCACTTCCTTTGCCTAATCCCTTACTGTATTTTACCTCTATTGGAATCAACTGTGTGCAGTTACCCATGCCCAAACGAAGAATGTAAATATGGAAAAATGTGTGTATATATATTTCTAATATATATGTGTATGTATCACATACATACACACACACATCTCTATATGAGAGGGATGTATTACATACACGTTATATATAATGTGTGTGTGTGTGTGTGTGTGTGTGTGTGTGTGTGTATATTTTCATATCCCTCGGGAAGCAAAAAAGATACCACAATTTACTTCATTGAGAGACATATCTCCAAACAAAAATTATTCCAACTGCATTTAGTTCCCCTGAAAGTATGCTGCCATTTAGTAATTTTTTCCCATATTCTAGCAACAGAGCAACGGCAAATCCTGTTCTTAAAGGATGCTTCATATTTTCCACTATATTTTTATTAGTATATTTGAAAGCTACCTAAGATATCTAAACAAAAGGTGTGTGTGTATACATATATTTCTAGATGCTTCCTCCTACTCCTCTGTAAACAATTGACATAATTAATAGTGTAATGAATATAAAGTCAGACAAGTATTTGGTTTCAGTACTCAGTCTAGGCGTGCTCTGATTCTGAAGACAGTTTCTTGTGGTTGATTTACTTACATAATCCTAATTAAAAGGTATGCAAACTCCTATTCAGTAAATTTAAGAACCTCTCCAACAGGATCTCGTCTTTTTACTAAACCTGTAGTACAAATGTTCCTGAGTGCATGAGACAACTCCAATGAACTTGATTCAGCCAAAAATAATGTATATTTTTTTCCGTATAGCTTTAATCATAGTCAATGGAGAAGTAGGTGTGACTAACCAGTGACAGCGTTGTTCAATACTGCAAAAAACAATTATTTTTTAAGCTCGAGCCACCATTCCAGCTGAGCAGTCTCTTTCCATGTCTTTCATGACAGCAAAGAATTTCAGGGTCAAAAAAGAAAGGAAGGGTTTTTCTGAAATGCCACTTCCCCAGAACTAAGGAGTCTAATTTCAAGCAGCTATCAACAGAGGCTTCCAATTGATAGCTTTTTAAACCTCGGAGCATGGAGAGCAATGGGACACCCTGCATTAGAGCCCCTCCCTGGACCCTGAGAATTCAAATGCAGGGTTTTACCCACAACTTGGAAGTTAAACACTGTCTACCCCTCACCCCAAAAGCTCCATTAGTACCTGGACAGGAACTAAAGGCTATCCGAGCTGGACAGAGCCTAAGAGGCTTTAGTTGTGAAGCCAAAGGCACTTGCTCAAGAGTAGAGACCTTCCAAGTTTCAAGAGCACCTATGTATTTTAACTAAAAAGAGAAAAACTGAGAACAAAATCAATAAACCAGACTTAAATCTCTCTCTGTCTTGGCCTCAGTTTTATTTAAAAGATGAAGACTGACTTTAAAATCCAATATTCTTCTGATCTGCTGGTCCCCTTATGGGCTACTCCTATGTCCTTTTTGCTATAAAACTAATATGGGGTCTTTTCATTACTAAGTTCTTGTACTGCACTAAGGTGCAGTGTTGGGTGGTCATCCCCTCCCACGCAACTAGGACTGAAGGTACCATAGGTGAGACAGCACTTATTACAAAATAACCAAAATTCAGCACTGTCAAACTGGCTCTGAAATAGAGGGAGTATTATTCCAGAACGCTAAGGAAGAAAACGAAATCTTTTATTGCCCATTTCTCCTTTGTGGCCTTATGGGAGAAGCAAGTAATACTGCTCTCTATTAACTGGAATAAATTTAAAAAAAAAAAAAAAAAAAAAAAAAAAAAAAAAAAAAAAAAAAAGCAAACTAGGCTGTCAGGAAGCCACATCCCTTTTCTCTGTATTCTCTGTCAAGCAAGACCTCATGAGCTTCTGAGATAATTTAATGTGTGTCTACCTACTTGTAGGAAAGACACCGTGTCTGCTACTGACACTGAGCTACAGCATGCTGATATTTAAGCTATTCACAAGATTTTAAGAAGCCTTCTTAACAGACATTTTGGTCCACTACTCTGCAAAAACTGAGGATATGCAGAAGAACTGCCCCAGGGAGCTAAATTTCAGCTTTTGAAATGTTATCTCTTTGAACAGAGCAAGAATCTACATGGAAAAGGTCTGAAAATTAATCATCTTTCTGGGATGCAGTTAGCAGGTTTGCATTAACACCAATAGCTGCTTTTGTTTGTCCTAGTTGTCAGGGAAAAGTGGTGAAAAGAGAGTACAGAGAAAAAAGCTTTTGTGCTGGTATTTTCATTTTCTTGCTGGTCCACAGTGATTTCCCTGAAACACAATCTAAAACAAACTAATTTCAAATACCTTCACATTTTCATCTATCTAATGGCTATGATACTTTAATTTTTACTGTTCACTTCGGGTTATAAGGAGCTTAAACCTTACTATGAGCTTTCAGACTTTGTTTTCGATTTGTTCTTGTGCTATCTCTGTCTGTACCTAGACAAAATGTTACCTATACAAACCCGCAAGCCTTCCTGACTTTGCAAATCTTCACTTTTTTTCATTTAAAAGATAACTGGGACACTTGCCATGCCTTGGGCATGCAGGTAGCAGCATTTGGCAGAACTGTGTCGTAAAAGTTTCCCACACTATAAAATCCATGGCAAACATAACTTAGAAAAATCCAATATTTGGGCCTCGCAATGGTAAAATGTATATGCTAACTGAATTTCTAACACTATCATGAGAAGACAGTTAAAAATAGATAACCACAAGAGTCTTTTTCTTGTAACACTAAACAAAGAACTTTATTCAAATAAGAAAAACCGTTCCATATCCCTAAAACTACTGTGCTTCACACACATGCACTCATTCGCCCTGTTTCTGCATGGACTCTTTCTCAGCTCCTCAACAAAACAGATTTCAGTGAACATTTCTCCTGTTTGGAAGAAATATCCTTATGCATATTGCATATATGGATATAGAAACATGGCACAGCAGAAGGAGTCACAAGCCCTGACTGCACTCTGGAGCTTGCCTTGTACTTCCCAGTACAAATGCCGAGCCACTTTCCCCATATTTACTGTTTAGTCCAACAAAACCTCAAATACAAAGGACTTGCATATGGAGCTGGAGCGATCTGCTGCTCACCACTTTATGCTGCACAAAAATACTATGCACCAAACAGTACGGTTACTGGCTGGCCAGTATTACTTCTATGTGGGTATGATCACAGTGGGTCCTTGGGTGATTTTGCTGCCTGAATCGTGTATGCATGTATTACATTTAGATACACAGAGACGTATCTGTACATGTATATGTAGATAGATATAGATATATATATATAGATATAGATATATTTATGTGTATGTACACATGCTTAAGCAGGGCCTGTTGGAATAGGACAAAGGGTAATGATTTTAAGCTGGAAAAGGGTAGATTTAAACTTGATATAAGGAAAAGACATTTTTTACAATGAGTGGTGAAACATGAACAGGTTGTCCAGGGAGGTGGTGATGCCCTACCCTTGGAAGCATTCAAGGTCAGGTTAGACAGGGCTCTGAACAACCTGATCTAATTGACGAAGTCCCTGCTTACTGCAGGGGAGGTTGGACTAGATGACCTTGAAAGGTCCCTTCCAACCCAAACCATCCTATGATTCCAGACACACACAAGGGTAATTTGGCTATTGCACAGCTGTGATGAAGGCAGGACCAGCACCCAGGGAACACCATCCCAGCTCCCCCAGACACCCACCCACATGCTTCCCACTCACTATGAGCACAGCACATTCAACCCACATTTCTGAGCAGGATGTGAAAGGCACGGCGGAGCTCACCTGTCTGGAGTTCGCCTCTTCCCGTTTTCGTTCACATCGAGAAGCAGCTCTGAGGAGTCAACAGGTGAGGTGGTGCTGGCATCCAGAAGCAGCTGTTCGTGCTGGGCGAGGTACTGGGCTGGGTTCTGCTTGGCTAGCCTTGCACAGTGCAGCAGCTCCCGCTGCAGCAGGGGCAGATTGGCCTGCAAGAGCATTGCACACATTAAGAGGGTGGCTTGCTGGCAGTTTCAACAGAGATGTAGAAAAAAAAATCAGAAAATCAAAGGAAAGCCTGCTCTGAGATGAACCTGTTGCAAGCATCCTCAATCAGGTTTGTTGTGGTTATCTGCCTGAAAGCAAGCCTCCTCCTTATGGTTTCAGGTCATGGCTGTGGTAAGTATGCATGAAGGATGGGAGCATATGAAAAATAGAAGAGAAAACTGTAAACACTTGGAGAAAACCAGGTCTGAGTTCCACATCTTTAAAAGAGGAAAAAGCACTGCCCTGGTCGACTTCTTCGCCTTTACTTACTACCCAAAACCTGAGTTCCTATGGAGCAGCAGTTTTGAAGAAGTGACAAACTTTCCTCAATATTTGTTTCCCATTAAGACTGCAGTTAGTACGTAGAAATCAAGGAGAACGGGATTGCCCTCAGCCTTCCCATTACACTTGCAGTTACACATCAAGATAAAGATTACAACAAAATCTCACGTACCAGAGCTTCTGTTAATCACTCAGAGGGCTATGACCCTCCTCCTAGCCAGATGTAGCTTGAAGTATTTTTAACCCTCCTCTCAGAGCCCCACTGGGACTGGGGTCATGAGCTGGAGAGTACCGGGACTCAAAGATAACTGAAAATGCTCATTGATCTATGGGTGCAACATTTTGTCCATCTGCTAGGGTCATGCTTAGTCCTACTTCTTGCCAGATTTGGGACCAAGGTGGAACTGTATGTCCTTCCCCCTGGTGGAAATAGTTACACATACTGTGAAACATCTTCCTTTCTTTGCAGCACATGCATACCTTGATCCTAAGATAGTCCAGTCATTTCTTACCTACTTATTTGTGCCATAACGTGATGTGCTCTGACCTCTCTTGCTCCACAACTAGTGCACAGTGACTTGTTGCCTCAGGATTTTCTAGTACTGGATTAATTTCATGACCTTTAGTAATTGGAGATAAGACAAAGAACTCCAATGGTCCTCTGCTTTTGAAATAACTCTCATCAGGTTGTTTTTTTTAAATAGAAAAATATTTATTAAATCAAAAAATTTCTGAAACTAATGTGCAGGGGACCAAGCACAAAAGGCAGATGTTCTGGATGATGTCTGGGCACAGGATCTCAATCAATTACTCTGCTAGCATTCTAACAATCGCAAACTCTCAGGCACCTGTTGCTGTACCATAAGAGCAGACCCACTGTGCAACAAAAAATGCCAGAATGGGGTCAGTACGTATGAACCTTTCAGTGAAAAAAAGACCAGCAATTGCTATCGCTTAGGTTGGGAAGAGAGCTGGTTGCGGAACATGAAGTCCTTTCAAACCTCCACAGAACACAAATATTTTGTGAAATTACCAAAGAAATATCTTCTTTTGGTTATTATTTGTCACATTTTTGTCCAGGGATACCACATAACAGAGAGACACTGAATGCACTTGTTTTCATTTCACTGTTATATTTTAAAAGCTCACACAGAATCAAAATCAAGACTTGCAACTACCTAAACTGCCTCATGTGGCAGAAAAAGATTGAAGTTTACATATATTTACAAATAAATATCTAGATAAAATAATAGGATCAGACCTAGGATTTTAACAATGGTGAATACTTGGAAGATGCATCATCACATCTCAGCATGCCTATGAAGTAGAAATGTGAAGTCCCCACTTTGCAGGTGAGAAATCAAGGCAAAATCAACAGCGTTCCTTTTCACTATCACAGACAAAAGGGACTTATTTCATACATGGGCACTCCTAACTCCTGGAGACAACCAAATTTTGGAACTGGCTAGCAAAAACCTTGATTTATTTTATTTGTTTTCCTTCTCCAAAATAAATGTTCATTCTTGCTTTTTGACCATAAACATGAAGATTTACTATTTTATTTTAAATGGATTGAACTTTTTTTTGTGTGTGTGCATAGAACAGACATGTTTAACTTTTAATATATGTATTAAAAATGGCTCTACTCAGTTTCTTAATTTTTTAGAAGTTATTATAGAATGTTATTATAATTATAGAAAACTATGCCTCGTAATTTGGGTTTATAATGGCATCAAGCAATATTTGGACAAATACTTAAACTGAAGAAAAGCAGGATTTGTAAACTTTTAGTTCAACGCAAGTACTTTCAATATGCTCAAGACATTATTATAAACAATCTTTATCAAACCATGTAGCAAAAAATAATTGGTTTATTGGAAGAATCAGGATCTCTCTATGACTAGGTCAAGTGTACAGACCACTTCTGGTCACCTGAACACACATCAACTAGTTTTTAGGAAGCTGGATACAGAATGAAGAACTGACATTCTCCCTACTGTGAGAAGGAAGAGATCAGGCTCTTAAGGCAACTCAAGAATACTGATACAGACTCTGAAACCAAAATGGCCTTGGATACAAAGACTTATGCAGAGGTTCAGCTCTGACAGCAGAAGCAGTTCTGTCAATGTGCAGTATATGTGCAGTAGCACATTTCTCCCAGCATCGCTGCTGGTGCCTTCAGACAGATTTCTACACCTCTACATGTGAGAGGTACAAAACAGTTCTCAACCAGAAGCCAGATATATATAGATATATATATATATATGACTGCAAAGAAACGTGGTATTACTGGCTTACAGTCCCCTAAAATGTGGCACTTCAGTGTCTGGAATATTCTCCTACTCTTGTTTTGGCCTGGACCTTACATCCTTCAAGATTTAGGTAGTGTCTTATCCTCCTCCATCAGCTTTATAAACACAAATAGGGATAGGAGAACGTGGTTTTTTACCCAGCTGTCAGACCGTTTTCCACTTTGAAATGAACTGTTCTAACCAGAAAAGGAAATGTTATCTCTGCACCTGCAAATGAAACTACAGCTCCAAAAGGCTGTTCTATCATTTCAGTGCTCACTCCAGGTAATTAGTTAATAATTTTCCATTGTTGGATGTTCCTATTTTCTTTGAAACTTTAGCAACAAAAATATTTCAGTATTATAATTTAAATTAAAATAGCTTCATTATAGTGCAATTATACTTTGATGCAAGTTTTTATAATGGCAAGTTTAGCTAAGTTATTTACAGACATATTTTAAGAAAAAAAATTGAGACAAATTTTTGTTCAGAGAGTCTGAGTAACTCAAAATCATCAAATCATACACTGATACTGGTGCTCAAATATGCACAG